TGAGATATGCTTTTGTAGTCTTTACTTTTCCAGTTGACTCCACAGACTGTGTAAAATTTGCATTTTGATTCTGGTGGTGTATTTCAGAAAGCAGTGAAGCACTTCCCTCATCTATCTGCAAAAGAACAAGTTCACAATAGTGTTTCCTTCATGCAGTTGAAGAGAAATGGAGAAAAGAGCAATGAGAAAGTATCTTAATAGACGCCAATCCTTATGATCAAACTATCTACATAAACATATACATTCCTACACAAATTTATGCATCCCAGTGTTCACAACAAAAAGTGTATGCATGCAATTCCAAACACCACTTGTGCAAGTAATTTCTGAATTGAATTTAATAGAAGTCTTTTGTAGATAAAATCAGTAACAATTGTGATGCCTTTTTTGATTGACATTAACTGTTTCAGAGAAAGTTCCTTGCAGCAAAACTGAAATTTGACATACTGGCATTTCATTTACTAAGTATCTTGGGTTTTTAACTGCTTTTGCCAAAGCATTCTAAACATTTGAATCCAACAAAGCCCATGCCAAGATGCAGTCCATACCTCAGCTACACTGAAAACTGCATTTGGGCTCAATGCTGATTACTTCTATTTATTTGAAAAACATTTTTCTGCATCCACTTCACAAGAGTGAGAGAAACCCACCCGAGCAGCAAGATCAAATGTGGTAAGAGCAAAGGTATCAAAATCTATTCTGAACAGACTGATTATTTTAGCAGAGATTGATTGTGGTGAGCTCAGATGCTGTCTTTTAGTAACAACAGTATACAAACAAATACACCTTTTAGTGCACTGTTCAGTTTACCTCCTTTAATTTCATTTCTTCATCCATCTCCTTAGTTCCATTCTTGAGGCAAACTGTGGTACTTTTTCCTGGTGGTATAAACCTTGGCTTTTTGGCTACATTTCCTAGCACTTGACTTGGAGCTGCGGATCGCCTCATATTGAGGTGTACTGCTCTGGAGGTTGGAGAGGAACTAAGGAAGCAGGTAAAGACAACTGTAGTCAGAGTAGGCTTTAAGTATAAAAATAGATCCATAGATAAGAATATAAGCACTATTTTAAAACAAAATTAAAGATAACACAAAATATTTTCAGATAACAATTCACAAACATAATATGTCTTAAGAAAAAGTAGTATCTTTGCAACACATCGTTTAAATACTAAGAAAGATCCGCTACAGCAAATTCCTCAGTTGAACACTTCCTTTTTCATTTGAAAAGCCAATAATGCAGTTCTCAATAGCAAGAAACGCTCTGGAGATGTGCAATGTAGGGCTACTTCATAAACTTACACCAGTTTATAAAAAGAGAGACACTTTGAAACAGAACTAACTATTCTAAACACTTAAAACATAATTTTGAAGAGCCCGTTATTAGTGCACAATGATCAATGAATGTCGGAGGTATGTTTCATAACTGGGAGTAGTGCTTTGCCTTAAACAGTCAATTATACTGGTGATTCAGATTCACTATAAGAAGATTAGAATTCAGCAGAAAATTATCTCAAAATTACAGTGGAGATTATCAGTACATGTTATGTCCACTTGAACAGTGGAAGGAACATATTACAAGTCTTTCCTCAAAATGTAAGACCGTTATTCCCCTAAACAACCTCAGGACAAAAACCAAACATATACCATGACAAAGCATACTTGCAACCACTAGAATAACAAGTTATAAACTTAATAATTCAAAGTACTAGAAAAGAAAACCAAAACAACACAACAACAGAAAATTCTAGCAGAATAACCCAGCAGCTGGAACGATGAGGACAAACAGCAATTTATGGAACATACTTTGGTTTAATTCTCCATTCGCACATGGGCTGCTTATTTTAATTGACCCCCCAACTATTAGGTAGAAATAAACCATATTACGGATTGTAGATACAAACTTCTCTACCATCTTGAAAGCATGTCTGCGTCCTGTTGCAACAGCCAGTGTGTTTCTGCACTTTTTTGATGCTACTCTGCACTCCAGTGGCTTACTAGGGCACGACAACCTTTTTTTCCAAGATTTGCACAGAAGTGGTAACAGAGTACTGTTAGAATATTTTGCAAACACGCAGACACAAATGTGAGTCCTGCTATCTCCTTCATATCTGAACAATTAGCATATATATGAAGCTGTTACTAGACGTAAACCTTAATGGCAAAATGGCCTGAACTGTTGTCACTTCCATGGTGGCTGTCATTAGAAATACAAGGCAGGCGGTTTCTTAACTGTGTCAACAGCAGTTCACTTAAGTTAGACCTACTTGACAACAGTGTTGGCATACAAGGGAACTGGGGTTGTTAAGTCTGAAGAAGAGGAGGCTGAGGGGAGACCTCGTCACCCTCTACAACTGCATGAAAGGAGGTTGTAGTGAGGTGGGTGTTGGTCTCTTCTCCCAAGTAACAAGTGACAGGATCAGAGGAAATGGCCTCAAGTTGCTCCAGGGGCGGTTTAGATTGCATATTAGGAAAAATTTCTTCACTGAAAGGGTTGTCGAGCATTGGAATTGGCTGCCCAAGGAAGTGGTCGAGTCCCCATCCCTGGAGGTATTTAAAAGACGGGTAGATGTGGTGCTTAGGGACATGGTTTAGCGGTGGAATAGCAGTGCAAGGTTAACGGTTGGACTTGATCTTAAAGGTCTTTTCAAACCTAAGCGATTCTATGATTCAAGGAACTTTAGCTAACCCTATGCAATAAGGGAGTAGCTTAGTTATCATAGAAGGAGTACCTGCCAGTGTAACCAACTAATATTCACTGTGAAAGCTGCAAAGGTGTCAAGAACCTTCCAGAGGAGCAGACTGTGAAGTGCCAGCCCTGACCATAGCCAGCTTCAGCTGCCAGGTGAATTTAAACAAGTTTTCCACCCAATCCTGTGATGCCCAGTGACACTTGGGAAGACAACCCAGGACACCCCAGAACTCTACATGAGGACTATGCATAGCATGGCTGAACTGCTACACTAACTCTGCCCTCTTCACTTGTAGAGCTTGTCACATCTCCCATGGAACAGGGGAATCATGCAATTCATTAATTGCATGTATCTGTGATTAAAGTGGTTTAGTTTCCAAATCCATTAGGACTTTGCACTGCCATTTGGTCTTAAACCACAAAAACAGGCTCATTAAGAGATTTTCAAATTATTAAGAAATTTAAAGATATGGCCCTTGATAACTCATTAACTTCACTCCTGTTAAATTTAAGATGTAAGAATATTACCAGTATTACCTACTTGCAACTACAAAAACCATTAGGGGGTTGTGTTTTCTAAAATGCAATATTGCTTCCAGCAATACGTCTCTCTGTCCTCAAAATATAAGCTTTTATAATATATAATAAAAATATAATAAATAAAAGGTTTATATTTTGTATCTTTACAGTACTATACAGAAAAAGGCTATTATGGATGCGCAACAGCTGATTGATGCTAGCTCCGTTAGATGGGATCGGAGTAGGTGTAGCTAGGGCAAGGAATAGCTCTGCATCACCACTAAATCAATTAACGAAGCAAATACGCCCATTCCTCCGAGACAGCCGCCACGACGCCGAATCGCCCTGCGCTTGCAGTACCATTAGGCATGGTTGCAGGGAAACGGCTGCAGGTAATGAGAAAAGCACTGCTCCTGCCTGTTGTTAGCTTGACCAAATTAAATGTACCATGAAACCACATCCTAAAACGTCTCATGAACTCGTCTGGGTTTGCATGCACTGGTTTGGGGTTTTTTTTCTCCTTAAAGGTACCTTAACGGCTGCATCAAGATGAAACACATGGGCAAAGAATATTTCAAAACTTTACATGTGCAGCTCACCACAGTAAAGGCAGTTACAGTAGCCATTTTAGCACAGATTTAACAGGTTGCTCTCCTGAGCCTTGGAAGAGACATTCCCGGCTAAATGATTTGACCAGGCTAAATAATTTTTGTATGCAACTACGAAGACGCCACACAGGATTAACTTTTCCTCAGCTAAACTGCAGGCAGCCAGCGCATCGCCTTGGATACCAGCATTAGGGAAAAATCACCTCAAACGAGTAATAACCGTAAGGATTTGGAGAGCGGGTCACAAGAAGCAACGCTGTTAGCCCGGTCCCCGGCCCAGCCCGCCTCAGCTGCCCGGTAACGGCCG